TTTTGTATAGAGACAAGTTACAGTCCTGATGCCCTTGCTTCCCAGTTGCCATGGTTGTGTGAGTGTAGGTCTTTCTCTCTTTAATCCTCCACTCATCCCACCTAGTGCATTTGTAATGTGTGTATCAAATCAGTAGCAATAGACTACGTTTTATTTTATTTTATTTGAATCCAAATTTTGTGTAATATGTGTTCCACCTTTGCCACCTTCGCAGAGGGAAAACACACTAACCACTTTCGTGCACTTTTCCATTTTGTTATTGACAAATGTGTTGATTGGACAGTTCGATTGAGCAGCAGAATTCAGGCCCACCATCCCCAGCTACCTAATGGTTCAGGCTATGATGTGACTTACATTTTGTTTCTACTTAAATTCAGTCCGTATTCTGTTCCAAAGTAACAAAGCCGTACATGTTCTGTCTGCATTCATTCACCTTTGTGCTTCAAGAGCAAATCTATTTGCCTATGACAGATTTTAAATAACTAATATCTACAATGGTATTTTCAATCTGCCAGAAGTTCTCAGGCTAGAAAGTACAGAGTTTTCAAGCAGCTTCTCTTTGTTCTTGTGACTTGAGCATCAAAGTACAAATCAACTCAAGTTGAACAGAAGTCTGAACATAATGAATAACAAAATACCTACTCAGAGATGACCAAGCTATCATAGATTGAGTTTAAACCATATTTTTTGTATAGCTACCTTACTTATTGGTGGTAGTATCCTCACTTTAAAGATTAGGCAACCAGCCTCGGCAGTTAAAAAAAATTTACTAACACACATAGCCTTGTGGCATGCCAAAGCAAAAGGTCAAGTCTAGATTGGCTCCAAACCCTACGGTCCTGTATTGTTAAGGATTTAGAACTGATATTTGAATCTAAGATGAGTGATTCTTTTGCCTTTCCCCATAACCTACAATCTTTTTCCTTTGGCTTATTGTGATAACAGATTTTTAAAAATTATGTTGTAATTACGTAGGTAATGTAGTTATATGGCTCAAAATTCAGAAGGCACAAAAAAGATACACAGAGAAGAGTTGTTCCTACTGTTGACCCTAGCCATCCATTTTCCTCTCCTGGTGGCATTCACCTACCATTGTATGCTTTAGATAAATTTTAATTTTGCATGTACAAACATATTTCCCCATTTTTTTACACAAAGGAGACAATATACCTTGTTTAGAATATTGCTGTTGCATCAAATATATTTTGGAGATTTCCAATAACAGTCAGTCGGGAACTTTTTAAAAAGATCTATTTTTACTTGGAACAGTTAAAAAGACACAGATTTTACCAACTTATGTTCCTACCAGCAGTAGCATACTATATATCTAACTTCAGTATTTTTCCAGTCTGTTAGGCAAATGTGTTATTTCAGACAGTTTCCATCTACTACTTCACTCCCAAATGGCCACAACAGCCAAAACTGTGCCAATCTGAAACCAGGAGTCCAGAGTTTTCTCCCAATCTCTAATGTGGGTGCAGGGGACAAAGTACTTGAGCCATCTTCCACTGCCTTTCCAGGTGTACATGCAGGGAGTTGAATCAGAAGTGGAGCAGCCAGGACTCAAACCATCCATCCATATGGGATGCTGGCAACACAGGCTGCATCTACTGTGCCACAGCGTCACCCTCAAGTATGTACAGAACTTTTAATATTTGTAACTGCTGTCTAGTTTTTCATTGAATGAATGTTGCATATTCTTAGGTATTATTTTCCAGTATCTTGTTATTATAAAGAATGTTGCAATGAATGATAATGCATATATACTTTGGGACTTGGGGTATTGAGGATACTGTTAAATACTGAATTTCTGATTGAAAAGGAACATGTATATATAGTTTCACTAGTGAGTTCAAATTGCCTGTCCCAGAGGTTTTACCAATTTATGTTCCTACCAGCAATGTATTCAGAGTGCCTGTTTCCCTACAATCTCCACAGATGAGCATTATATGCATTATATATATATATAGGAGATATACACATTGTGTGTATATGTGTGTGTATATATACAGTGTTATATGTGTGTGTGTGTGTGTATATATAGCTTCTGTATCTTCCCCAATCTGCTGGTGAAAAATGTTATTTCAGTGTAATTTTAAAATTTAAACTTTATTTGGATCTGGCATTGTGTTGTAATGGGTTAAGCCAACACCTGCATTGCTGGCATCCCATGTGGGCTTGTTTGAATATCAGCTGTTCTGCCTGTTAACTAGTATGTGCCTGAGAAAGCAGTGGGAAATGCCCTAACCCCTTGGATCCCTTCACCCACGTGGAAGACCCAGAGGAAGTTCCTGGCTCCTTGCATAGCCCAGGCCCATCCCAGCCATAGAATCCAACTAGGGAATAAACCAGTAGATGTAAAATAGCCCTCTAACACTGTCTTTCAAATCAGTCTTTAAAAAACTGTCTAAACTTAATCCTTAGAGCAGTTTGAGCATTGTAGAAAAGTTGCATAGCACATAGTACCATATACATCATTGAGTTTCCCTTAGTGTTAACCCCTTACATAAGTGATATATATTCATCACAGCTAATGATCCTTATTAACTAAAGTGCATTATTTATCAAAATTGCTTAATTTTTACATGGTATCCTTTTTCTGTCTCAGGATACTATCAAGGATACCACATTATGTTTAGTCATCATGCCTTCTTTGCTTCCTCTTGCTTTGGGTGACCTTGATAGTTTTCAAGAGTACAAATCAGTTTGCTTTGAAATTTCCATCTCACTTAGAAGTGAAATTGAAAGCTTTTTCTTTTTTTCCACATAAAGACATTTGTACTTCCATTACTGGGAACTAAGAGCCCATGCATTTTACCAGTATAGTATATATCTCTCTTCATTCATTATAATTACAAGTAAAAAATTCACGAAATGTAAACATACACAAATTTCTGATATTCAACTGAGAAAATTTGCAAGTTTGTTAGAGATGGAGGAGAGCCGTTAGTGCAAGTGACATGGTCAGTCAGATTGTATCTAGGAGAACTAGCCTTTCTGTAGTCAGCAGAGTAGACAGCAATTTGAAGGAAATTAGAGAAGTTATGCTGTAATGACATTGAGAAGACAATCAAAAAAGTCCTAGGTGACCTCCGATTTATGGGCTGAATATTTTGGGTGCTGTGTTTAAGACCGAAGAGAAGTATTTGGGCAATTTACAACGTAGTAGTCACTCAACACTTCCTTTCCCTTCCAGTTTCTATAGATCTGTGGTACTACGTTTCCCAGAATTCCACGCTCAACCACAATTCTCCGAGTATGCCGCGAAGAGTTCTGGGGTTTGAAGTCCGCGAATGCATCGCCCAAGTTAGCAAGATAGGGGCCTTTGGAAACATGAAGAGGTAAGGGCTGTCTTAGAAACAGGCGGCAAGGGGACTTCTTTTTCTACCTTTTACTTTGGAAATCGCTGTTGTCGTTTTCTGTTTATAGGCAGGTTTTCAGGGTGTGGTTTCTGGTAAAAGGGAGGGAACCGGGTGGGGGGGACAGATTGGGCAGGCCTGCGGGGTGAAGTTCAGGGAGGACCCACTGCCGGGGCGGGCTCCGTCGGAATGCGCCCTGTCCCGCCACAGGCCCGGAGAGCTGGCTCGGCACCGCGGCCGAATTGTTTCAGCTAACACCCATCCAAGCAAAAGGGTCTTGGAGGGCAAGTTCCTGGCGTTGGAAACCCCCGGGCTGGCTCCTCCCGATCTCACTCCAGCTTACCTCATCCTGTGACAGGGGCTCAGGGTGTGCCCCCCATTTATTTACAGCGTGTGTATATTAAGGAAGAGTTTGAGGGCGAACTGGGCAACCAGGTGGTATTTTCAAATCTTAAGATTAAGGAAGTGCTGCACTGTATAAATTTAGAAGGCAAGCACAAAGCGGATAGGATATATTTACCAGAGAAGGAAGGCAGGGCTGTGAGCAGTTCCCGCCGCTGGTTCTGCTGTGAATGGCAGTGGAACCCTGGACGGTCATTGTTGAGAGTGCGAGCCTCAATTATGGGCAGGACAGAAAGCCTTTTCGTTTTGTTTGCACTGTGTGATCCTCCGTCTCAGATCCTTACATTTATTTAAAAACCTGCTTCTGATTTGTCTTGCCTGAAAATAACCTGTAAAATGTTCATGGTGACAGCTCACACATGCAGAATGTGGCATATACACATTGAAAACCCAGTATGGGATGAAGGAGTAAAACGTTGCCAGTGCCTTGGAATTTCCTTTGTCTCCTGTTTGTTTCCGTCCTTCTCCTTCCCTGGGATGTGATCACTATCTAGAATTTTGAATTGTTAATTCCCTTTGCTTTTTTTGTCCTTGTGTTTTAGTTTTTAAAAAAATGTAGCCATCTAACTGTATCCTTCAACAGAATATTCACCCTGGAGCTTCTTTGCTTCTTTAGTGCCTTTCTCCCGGGATTGAATTACACAGCAGAGAATGTGGGGTTTATTTTGTACTGCCTTACCCTTGCTTTCAAAAGGACTGGTTCATCTGACCCTTGCATTTCCACTAATACCATTTCAGACTGGACCTTCATCACTTTGTACTTACTTAATGCTTTTGTAACTAATTCTTACTAGAGAGTGGCACATGATAGCCACTCTCATCTTCCTAAATAATCATTTGTATTGGGTCACTTAACTGCTTGAAGCATGACTTTATAATACCTATAACATTAAACTTGGGGTCCCTCAATTGTTATATTTAAGGTTGTTCACAGTTGGACTTAATCACCCTCTGTGAGCAGTATTCCCGTGTGTGAATACCAGCTAAACAGAACATCTCATTACAGCTCAATGCATATGCTTATCCCTTTGTATTCAGTCTCCAAATTCCCCTTTTCTTTATGACACCCTGTCCTTTCAGTATAAGAATATCTGTCTGAAATTTTCCTTTACCACTATAGCTCCAAATTATCTTTCTTCTATAAAGCACTACTGATTTGGCATATGTATTTCTTTATCATTATTCATTCATATTCTCTCGTGCTGTCCTCCCTCCCTCCATTCTCCACTCTCTCATTCTAGACTCTTGTAAATCTGATGTCCACACACACAACTTTCTTCCCTCTGATTAGGTTGCAAGTCTTTTGAGGATAGGGACTGTCTTGTCGTTACCTTTGACTTCCGTCAGTACCTCGTTCCTTGTGTGAGCAGCTATTTACTAAATGCTTGTTACAGAAGTGTCCTTGATCAAACAGGGTCACTAATGGCTAATAATCTAGGTGAGGGATATATTTGGAAACCGGTCTCTTCTACTTTCTGTACATATTCTTACATCTACACCAGGATAAACAGCTGTGTGAAGAGTGATGAGCGCACACTGGAGGAGCTGGAAACAGAAGGCGAGAGGCAGCTGAAGAGCCTGCTTCAGCATCAACTTGATACCTCTGTCTCCATTGAAGAGTAGGTATTGATTTTGCAAATGAGTGATAGTGTCATGGACCCATGCCTCCAGGTGCCCCTTCTTAATGCTTAGAGGGAACACACTCTCCTACTCCTTTTCTTTGACAAATTGCTGCTTATTAAGCAGGGTTTTGAAGATTTATCTATTTTTATTGGAAAGGCACGTATACAGAGAGGAGGAGAGACAGAGAGGACGATCTTCCATCCAATGATTCACTCCCCAAGCAGCCACAACAGCCAGAGCTGAGCCAGTTCGAAGCCAGGAGCCCAGTGCTTCTTCTGAGTCTCCCACAAGGGTGCAGGGTCCCAAGGCTTTGGGCCATTCTCAGCTGCTTTCCCAGGCCACAGGCAGGGAGCTGGATGGGAAGCGGAGCTGCCGGGATTAGAACCAGCACCCATATGGGATCCTGGCATGTTCAAGAAGAGGACTCTAGCTGCCAAGCTATTGCACCAGGCCCCTATTAAGCAGGGTTTTGCTTCTGTGTCTCTTTATCTGGGAAGCCTCCCATAATCCACTAAGCCTGGACCAGGTATCTTTATTGTATCCTAAAATACACTGTGTTTCCTCTAACACAGTGGAAATAGTATCTTTGTCTGTTTACTTGTCTCTGCAGCATAGTATGTGATACATAGTATGTACCAAAAAAGATGTTGATTTAGTAATTTATTAGCTCGATTGGTGGAGTTCCATTTTGTCCCAGCGTTAGAAGTAAGATGTGAAAGAGAAACTGCTGATGAGTTCTACTGTGCCTCCTGGAATAGTGAGCCCCCATGGCTGTGCAATGTGGTAACTGCAGGGTGTTCCCCTGTCTTCCTGCTTGTTTTGCAGATGTGTATCTAAGAAAGACAGTTTTGCTCCTGGCACAATGTATAGGCCCTTTGGGAAAGAAGCAGCTGGGACTATGACTTTGTCCCAGTTCCAGACACTACACGAAAAGGACCAGGAAACTGCTTCTCTCAGGGAACTAGGGCTTAATGAAACAGAAATCTTAATCTGGAAAAGCCACGTGTCGGGGGAAAAGGTGAGTTTTGTTGTTGTTGTTGTTTTGTTTATTTCTTGATGGATAGGGACATTGGTGAAAGTGACATTTTCCTTTGACTTTTTAGCCAGTGCTTTCTGCAAGTGTTTGTTGCTGGGCTCTGGTAGGCTTTCCAGGTGTGTCCTCTGTGACATGCGCCTTCTATTCTATGGTTTCAGAAGACAAAACTGAGAGCAACTCCTGAAGCAATACAGAAACGTCTCCAAGATATTGAAGAAAGGATTTCAGAGCGTCAGCGCATCCTTTGCCTGCCACAGAGATTTGCAAAGAGCAAACAGCTGACCCGGCGGGAAATGGAAATAGAAAAATCTTTATTTCAGGGAGCTGATCGTCATTCCTTCCTTAAGGCTCTTTATTACCAAGGTATGTGATCCCCCCATCTTTGGTATATTCTATCATTGAGAGAAAGATTTAACATCAAGGCATTACATATGAAAAATTTGTGAAGAGAGTAGGAAAAACCAAACAATTACTGCTCTTGAGCAATGTATAACCCCATAAGAGAGATAAATATATAATGTAGTTAGTTGCGTGACAACATGGAAGTTGCTGTTAAACAGATTTTAATAAAATGCTGAGGGATCACAGAACCTTGAGCCTTGAAGTTTAGTTAGGAGAGTCAGAAATTGACATTTGTATAATGGATCAAAAGGCATTTGTCAGATAAATAAAGGGTAATGCAGTTTTGAGTGAATGTGAGTGGGATTGTAAAAGGAATCAAATAGGTTGGGAACCAATGAGAACTTTACTGTGATAGGAGTCAGCACAGCAGGGAATGATAGAGAACACTAGGAAAGGAAGTGAAGTAAGATCAGAAGTGTCTTTAGGCTGAACTCTAAATTAACACAGACTATGTAAACAAGTTATATGTACTTGAACCCAAAAGATTAAACAAATTTTACAAGGCACTATGGAAAGTGCACAGAAATTTGAGAAGTAGTTCTTCACTTTGTGCCAAGTAGAGTGTGGTTGGAGAGATAAATGTAACAATTAGTAACAATGTTAGATATCACTGCTACATAGTGTATCAATTTGAAGGAAGAAAGTGTACTATGTATGACCACGGAAAGACTGTCAGAGGAGCTAAGATTTCAATGTTCTTTTGATACTATTTAACAGCATTTCAGTTGCAACAGGATGTGAGTGTGAGCACTATGGAGAGTTTGGGAGAGTTGTAAGAAACAAATTTGGAAAGGTAACTAAGAATTTTGAACTTCATTTGGTGGGTAACAATACACCTATACACAGTTATTCAGTTAGAATGTAATTTAATATTTTCATGTCAAGAGTAACATGCGAAAAGCCATATCTCAAAAGAGTGATAGCCGCAGTAGGCAGGATTCAATAGAGAAAGAACTAGCAACAGGGAGAGTGGATAAGAGATATGACAGGCTTAAAGAGCCAGCCTTGAATAATGGCACTGAAATTGGAAAGAGGGGTAGGCGTGGTTATAAAGAAGAATTAATAGATTTGTTGACTACCAATGAAGAAGGGTGGATGGAAAGGGATGTGTCAAAGGAAATCCAAATAATTCAAGGCTGTATGACTAACTTAACTGGCAGAAAAATGATAAGGCTTTTTGGGGGAAATTTTACAGAGGGATAATGAGCTTGATTTTTAAACCTGTTGCATTTGTGAGAATGGCAAGAACATCAAATGTGGATAGTGAAGGGGTGGTTAGTTGATAACGCAGCAGTGAAGCTCAGGAGAGATTAGAACTAGACGTATATCATTGAGAATCATCTATGCTTAGATGATATGTTAAAGCCTTGAGTAGCTTGAGTGATCTGTGAAAAGGAATTGAATACCCTAACAGCCTTTTGTGGAGACAATTTACACAGTTTAAGAATGTGGACTCTGGAGATGGAACCCCAGGGAAAGGCTCCCCCACTGCCTAACTGTGGAGTACTGGTCAAGTTACCTCTCTAGGCTTCCATTTCTTTGTAAAATCAGTGTTAATAGTAGCTATGGTGTAGGGTTGCTAGGAGGATTAAATAAGCTATTACATGTAAACCACTTAGAGCAGTACCTGTTATTTGGGTTGGGGAAGGGTGGGTGGTGTATAAATCTGTTCTGTTTCCTATCTTTGAAACTCCTTGCTTTATTTAAACCCTTCACAGCATACCACAAAAAGACAAGTGCAGACAAGTACATGACCTCAATGAAGAGGAAGATAAAATTAGGCACAAAAGGCAAGTCGAGAGTTTTCTTACAGTGTTAGATTTAGGAATGTGACTTAGGGCCCCAGACTTCTAAGTTGAGCACTTGTTTAATTCCATATTTAGTATTTCACGATGTTTATAGGAGATGATCTAGAGGGAATATATTGCTCTGAAAGAGTATATGAAATATATAAAAGAGAAGAGTTAGTACACGTTGTAAAGCAACTTTCAGTATTATTGTTGTTTTCTGTACCTTTAAATTATTCTACCAGACATAAATTGATCTTAATGATTTTTAGATCCTATTTCCTAAATAATTCAAAATGTTTTTCCTAATCAATAAAGTATAACTATTGATGAGTATGGTCATGCTAATTTAATAGACAATATTTTCTTTTTAAATTAAAATTGCATGAATTTTTGGTATACAATTCTGTGAATTGTAAAACATGTAGATTTATGTGACAATGAAGACAGAGAAAAACTCCATCACTCTAAAAGAAACTCCCTCATACTATCCCTTTATACACACTCCTGAACCCACCCATAATCTAACAATCACTGATCTATGATCTGTTCTCCATCTCTGTAGTATTATCTTTTAGAAAATGCCATATGAAAGGCATCACTCTGTAACCTTGTGAGACTGGCTTCTTTCACTCAAAATGACAACCCTTTGATTGAGGCTCATCCAGGATTTTGTGTAGATCAATAGCTCATTCATTTTTCTAAGTAGCATTCCATTGTATGAGAGTGCCAAAGTTTGTCCATTTATCCATTGAAGTACAGAGTGATTAATTCCAGGTTATATGGTTATGAATAATATTGATGTGAACATTGTTGTATGGGTTTTGTATGAACACAAGTTTTTATTTCTCTAAGGTAAATATCTAGAAGTGAGATTACTGGGTCATATGGTAAGTGCACATTTAACTTTATATGGAACTGCCAAATCATTTTCCAGAGTGGCTGTACCATTTTGCATTTCCACCAGCAATGTATGAGAGTTCAAGTTGCTCTGCATCTTTGTCAGCACTTGGTATTGTCAGTATTTATTTTGGCTATTTTAATAGGTGTGAAGTGATACATCATTGTAGCTTTAATTTGCATTTCCTTTACGGCTAATGATGTTCAGCATCTTTTCATGTGCTTATTTGTCATCCTTATATCATATTTGCTAAGATGTCTATTAAAATCTTTATTATAATTGGTTATCTACTTTATTTCTGAAGAATTTTGACAGTTCTTTGCATATTCCAAATGCTGTTGGCTGTGTGATTTACATATATTTTCTTTCAACCTCTGTACCTTGTCTTTTCATTCTTAGCCACGTTTTGGAAACATTTTTATTGTGAAGTCTATATAACATAAAACTTACCATTTTAACAAATTTTGAATGTTTAGTTCTATGGCATTAAATACATTTACATTATTTCACAACCATCACCATTATCTAATCTCTAGACCTTTTTCACCCACCCAAAGTGATACACTGTACTTATTAAACACTAAGTCTCAATTTTCCCTTTCCTCCTTTTCTGGAAACCATCATTCTACTTTCTGTCTATAAATTTGAGTACTCTAGGTACCTCATAACAATAGAATCAAATAATATTTGGGGTTTTTGTTGTTGTTGTCCCTGGCTGTTTTTACTTGATGTAGTGTTTTCAAGACCCATTTGTGCTATAGTGTATGTCAACATTTCTTATTTTTTAAGGCTGAAAAAATATGTTTATACCATATTTTTGTTCATTTACCACCACTGGACACTTATGTTGCTTCCATGTTTTAGATGTTGTAAATAATGCTTCTGTGAACACAGGTGTACACATACCTGTTTGAACAGCTGTTTCAGTTCTTTTGAGGATAGTTCCAGAAGTGGAATTGCTGATAATACAAGGAGCTTCAGAAAGTTTGTGAAAACTAAACGTATTCTTTTAATTCTGTTTTTTAATCTATTTTTTGAAGCCCCCTCATGTTCTAATTCCACATTTAGTTTTTGAGGAACTGCCATGTTTTCCAGACGCTATACCCATTTTGCTTTCTCACCAGCAATGCACAAGGGTTCTAATTTCTTCATTCCTGCCACAAAAATTATTTTTAATTCCTTTTGTATAATAACCATCTTAATGGATGTTAAGTGCTATCTCACATTTTTAAAAGTACATTTATTTTTATTTATTTGAAAGGCAATAGGAGAGAGAGAGAAAGAAGGGGTTGTGGAAAAGAGAGAGTGAGAAAGGAAAGAGAGAGAAAGAAAGAAAAAAAACTTCTCTCTGCTGCTTCACTGCCCCAAATACCTGCAACGGTCTCAGATAGCCCTGGTCTAAGCCAGAAACTTGAAGCAAGTCTTCTGTGTGAATGGCAGACCCAAGAACTTGAGCTGTTATCCGTTCTTCTCGGAGCACACATTTTTCAGGGAGCTGGATCAAGACTTGATCCCAGGTACTCTGATATGTGTTATACAGACATCCCAAGCAGCAGATGAACTAACTGTACCACAACACCCATATCACTGTGATTTTTATTTGCATGATTAGTGCTTATAAGCTTCTTTTCATAGGCTTTTTGACTATTTGCATATCTTTGGAGAAATGTCTGTTCAAGCCTGTTGCACAATTTTAAAATGAGGTACTGTTCATTTGTTATTGAATTGTTGGAGTACCTTTTCTATATATTACTCCTTTTACAAATATATGACAAATCCATTCATAAGCTGTGTTTTCACTTTGTTGGTAGTGTCCTTTGGTAAAAGGTTTTAATTCTGATGAAGATCAACTTGTTTATTTTTTCTTTTGTTTTCTATGCTTTTTGTGTCATACATAAGAAATTATTACTAAGGTCAATGTTACTAAACTTTTTAAAAAATTGTCTTTATTATTTCCCATGGTAAATTTAGTAGTTATAGAGATTCCTCCTTTTCCCTCCCCTTTATCCTTCCACATTCTCTCTCCCCTCTCACCATTGTCTCCCATATGATTATAGTAGTTTAGACCTTTAGTAATAGTTACATGTTTAACCTTCTACTGTGTGAGTTCTTTATGGCATTGTAGGTATAGATAGAAAATCTAGTATCTTATTGCCTAAGAATATTATCTATTTCCTTGGCAGTCCTCCTTTTATTTGGGAGTAAATGCACCTACCTCAGCAAATCTTCACTTCCCAGTATGTTAATCTCCATTATACAAATGAACCATAAGGAAATATGTATGTACTTATTCACAAATTTGTTTTGTATTTTACATGGATGTTGTTTTATATTAAAGAGAACATATGAGCTTTTTCCTTGTGTTATTTTAATGAGTTTTACAGTTTTAGCTCTAAGAGTGGCTATTTGTTACAGTAATTAAGACACCACTGGAGGCATCCACATTGCATAAGTATGCCTGGGTTTGAATACTGCCTCTGCTCTGTGTTCCAGCTTCCTGCCATTGCCCATGGAGGCCTCCAGGAAGGGTACAAACAGTTGAGTCCCTGCCACTATTGAGTTCCCAGGTCTTAGACATTTAGGGAGTGAAAAGTAGATGGAGTTCTCCCTCTTTGTGCTCTGATTATCAAATAATAAGCAGTTTTACCTCTTACATTTAAATCTTTAATCTGTTTTGCTTCTTATATATATGCTTTTCAGGTAAGGATCCAACTTCCATTTTTGCAGATTGATATGCAGTTTTTCTAGTACCACCTGTTAAAAACTTATTCTTTCCATACTGAGTGATTTTGATAGTGTTCAAAAATCATTTTGCGATATGTACAAGGATTTATTTCTTGAATCTCCATTCCCCCTGGGTCTGACTCTAGGCCAGTACTGCAATATTTTAATAATTGAAACTTTTTAAGAAGTTTTGAAATCAGGAAATGTGAGAACTCCAACTCTTTTCTACCTTTTCAACATTATTTTGGCTTGGTGACATTCCGTAAGGTACTGTGTGTGTGACTTGAATCGATTTTTCTACTTCTGAAAGAAAATATTGAGATCTTGGTAGGGATTGCATTAAATCTGTCGATTGCTCTGGTTAGAACTGACATGTTGATAGTATCAAGTCTTCTAATCTATAAACATGGGATATCTTTCTGTTCACTTATTTCTTCTCTAATGTAATCCAACAACATTTTGTAGTTTTTAGCATATAAATCTTGAGAGCAAATGTTTGAAAAGTTTTATAAAATCCAATTTGTCAGTCATTTCTTTCATGGATTATACTTTTAATAAGTACATATGTATAAGAATTATGCCTAATACTCATGAAAAATGTATTCTGTTTTAACAGTTTTATAGAGGCATACTTCACATTTGAATCTGTGATTCTTTTTTTTTTAAGATTTATTTTATTTTTATTGCAAAGTCAGATGTACAGAGAGGAGGAGAGACGGAGAGGAAGATCTTCCGTCTGATGATTCACTGCCCAAGTGGCCACAATGGCTAGAGCAGAGCCAATCCGAAGCCAGGAGCTTCTTCCTGGTCACCCATGTGGGTGCAGGGGCCCAAAGCTTTGGGCTGTCCTCAACTGCTTTCCCAGGCCTCAAAGCAGGGAGCTGAATGGGAAGCGGGCTGCTGGGACTAGAACCGGCACCCATATGGGATCCCAGTGCAAGGCAAGGACTTTAATCACTATGCTACCGTGCTGAGCCCATAAATCTGTCATTCTTTTGGACAAGATTCGTTTATATGCTTATATGGGATGTAATGTTAAATTATATTACCAACTGTTAAAAGATTACCCTTTCTCCATTTGTTGGTCAAATGGTCAGACGGTGAAATACTGAAAATTATATCATGTTTGGGAATAAGACAAGGATACCTACTTTTGCCACTTATATTTATAGTGCAATGAAAATATAAATCAACAACAAAACGTTTTAGGAAATTTGCAAATATGTAGAAATTAACCCTCTACTGAATGTTTGATAGATCAGAAAAAAATCACAAGGGGCACTGGAAAATATTTTTCAGTTGCAATTATTTCAATGTATAAAAAATTTTTTTAAGATACAGTAAAAACAATTTATAGTTAAAGATGTACATATTAATA